TATATCCTTAACATATACAGAATGGAAACTATCTGTCAACGAATCAAGCACACCAAGTGTTCGTCAAAATGGATTCAATCATGGCCTTGGCATCTCTGACCAGTCCGGTTTTCACCAGGATATGTATCAACAGATTTAACACGAAGTAGCTGGAAATCCGATGTTTTGCCTGGGCTTTGTAGGGGCGAGGTTGGTCAGTCCGATTAAGATGTGAAGAACGAGGATGGTGACGAAGTCGCAGAGGATCGTGATCTTGATGTTGTTGCAGGGTTTTTGGATCTGCCTTCCACAGGAGAGGGCCGAAGAGAGCGTGACGTCATTCGCGGCTACACAATCGTTAGTATCGATCTGAACTTGGTGAAGTCGATCGGCTTACAGCTCCTGATGTTGGGAAAGGCTTTGCGGGGACGATGATTAGGGTTTTGATTATGTATCTAAATTATTGATATAATACATTTTAGGTAAAGCTGCAAATAAAATTATGATTTCTTACAATATTACTAATATTTGTAAAAGTGATTTAATTATGTAATAAAATAAATTACTTGGTGTATGAGGTAACTAGTACTGACCCGTGCGATGCACGGAAGGGTATATTTATCTGATTTTTTTTATATAAACATTAAATTTAATGGACATTTTAGATATGTAACACATATATGATGAAAACAAACAAACTTAAAACTTCATAAATTAGTAAACACTTCTTTGTACACAACGTTTTGGGTTTGATTTGGAGGCAAGTCATCGTCATTACAGACTAATATCTTCAATCCAATTCGATTGGTGACACGGGAGACGGCAACATATAATTGCCCATGATTGAACACCGGCTTCTTAAGCAATAAACCAACATGCAATAGCGATTGTCCCTGCCTTTTGTTGATAGTCATGGCATAAGATACCATAACGGGAAATTGTCGCCTCTGGAATTTGAAAGGAATTCTAACATCGGAAGGAGTTATAGCCATTCTAGGAATCAACACCTTCTCGCCTTCATGATCCCCAATGAGTATCCTACACTCAAGAACATGAGCGGATAGTTTTGTCACAACCAACCGTGTCCCGTTACATAAACTTATAGAATGATCCATATTCCGCAAAAACATGATGGGGGTTCCAATCTTCAAATGCAACTGATGATTTCGAATTCCCGGACATTTGATACTATTCAAGAACTCGGGCGTATGGATATCAGAAAGAAAATCATTATTCGAGTCGGACTTGCAAGTACTGTCAGAGCTCAAGTACGTATTACCATATGATAAGTTCAACGATGTCATGTATTCATTGACGGACTCAACAACATCAAGAGTCGGTGCTAATATTTCCCTGTCCTTCAAATAACTGGGATCATCGGTTGTCTGCTTAAACATTGGATACGTGCTTTCTACAATTTGAGCAATCGGATCATCGGATGGTTGAAGCAATATATCCTCAGGTATGTAAATCATTACACAACCATCGTTTGACCCTCCTATAGTACCATCACCAATGCTCGCAATCCATTCAGCAAACCGAGAAACCTCTTCACGTTGCTCGGAATCTCTAAGTCTCTGAAGACGCATGTTCTTTGTAAGTCTGAGCACAGTACAACTCCTCCAGATGTCAGAAGCATTAATCGCAACATTCACAATATCTTGACGACTACACTTTGGAAGCAAAAAGGCTTGTGCCATTCAGATATGAACTCAATTGATACTCACCTGTTGCAAAATAATATATATTAAATTGCAATTTAAACTATATAGAATATCATTATTTCTTTTGTATTATAATTTAAATAAATCACAAATTCGAAATACCTGCAATCTTTTGTCTTATCCTACATAATTGCATGATGAGAACCCATGGTTCTCCGTTGTCCGCAGATTGGAAGTGATTTTCACATAAAAATAATCGTGAACATATTCACCCAAAGTTCGCAACGCATCACTAATCCACTATTTAGTTAAAATAAGAAATTTAATATTAAATTTTACACAAATTTTACAAATATATAATTCATGTACTATATATATACTTACTCCAAATCCATCACTGAAAAAGCGATCCTTGCTTTTCTTCTCCATTTATCCAATCTAAATGAATGGGTCGAACCTCGACGACCATACCAATAGCATCTACAATAGATATTAGTAGAAAAATTAAATACTATTTTATTAATTAATATATCAACAATAAAAAATTAAAATTGAAAAAAATCGAATCCACCCTAAATAATAAATAAAATATTTACCATAAAGGATTGACTTGTCCACAATGTCATCATTTTGAAGAAATGCAAAACTACGAAAGTCGAATTCCCATGTAGGGAAATTAGATAACACGTGAAGGACCTCAGTATCCCCATTAATTATAACTTTGTAGTCTGCATTAGTAGATCGAAATTTACCAATTTTGAGCTCTAGTTGGTAGTTGCTAAATATATAGACCCCACCCTCCTCAAGCAGCCCAACAAATATGGGCGGATCACGAACTATACTAGTTATTCGTGATCCCTACAAAACAAATAAACATTGTTATTGAGATAATAAAAAAAATTAAATAATTATCAAAATAAAAGTTCAATGCAATATATTTACCTTCATATCGTGGAAAAGAATTTCCCAATCGCTTTGGTACGATGCATGGAAAGATCTCTTGAAAATATGTATGACTCTAAGCCTAAGATAGAAGCTCATATTAATATTGAGTTGTCTGATCAAGCTTAATTGTTCCATGACAAATATTTTGTGTTTTTTTTACTTGGAGAAGAATTTGTTCTGAAGACGTGAGGATTGATTGGGGGAATCTATGATATTTGGGTTATTTATAGTGGTAGTAGTCCTAAATTTTTATTTTCGGAATATTTACATGTAATAATATAATATGAATTATTTGTGAAACATAATAATATCGGTCCTAATTCGTGAAACATAAAATATTTCAGTCCTATTTTAATTAAAAATCTCGATCCTAATAAATAAATAGTTAACAAAATATAAACTTTTGTTTAAAGACGTGTTTCTTGGAAAAAATATAGATTTTGTTAGCTATTTATATTAGGACAAATAAATTTAATTAAAATAGAACTGAGATATTTTATGTGGCTAGAATTTCACACGAACCATGCCTAAATTTTCTTAACCAATTTCATACGAATTTACAATGACCTTTAAAATAGGACTGAGATATTTGTTATTTTTTAATCATTATAATTTAATATATTTTAAATATTTCCCTTTTTTTTTGTTCGTAGGAACAACAACTTTTTATATATTGTCATTTAAATTTTAATAAGTGTTTTTTTAGATATTTATATATACAAAAAAAATGTGGTTAAACATTGTTCAAGCATTTAATAATGATTTAATCGGATAAAAAATAAAACAAAATAAATTCAGTAAATTGAAATTGTAAATTAATAAAAATTGACAGAACACAAATAAAAAATACACAACAAAAACAGATATACGAAAAAAAATCGAGTAGTAAATGAAATAATAAATTATTTTATTTCTGAAAAATTATAATAAGCAGCCACAATCGTTCAAAACGACATGAAATAAAATTATTATCAATATTCAACAAATAATTCATTCAAGTTATAAAAATTCCTAAGAAAGCCATCCCACAACCATATCTTGCATCTCGCTAGTATTGAGGAAAATTCCCATTATAGCTATATACATCAGTCGCTCCATTAAACACAAGCTTCCAATGGTTGGTTAAAAGGGCATTGTTCCTCATTGGTTTACAGTCAACACCATACTTTCGGACTGCATACACTTCGCCTTGTTTGAGTACATTTCGAAATTTTTCCATACTTGGCGAGCGTAATATTCCAGTGATTTATGAACCTTAGATTTTTAATTATTAAAAATTTGATAAAAAATAATCAAACATGAAATGAAACATTAAATTAGTTATGAATATTTATTTTATTGACAAATCAATTGGAATAATTACCACTTCATCATGAAACAGGATGTGAAAAGCATTTGGATGCTCCAGATCGTCATGAGTTTCCATCAGTAGGACTACTCTCAACCTAAAAAATGGTTTGTTGGATCCGTTGACGGCGTCGATTGTATTAAAGAAGGGTGTCATAATATTTTCTCTATTTTTATATTTTGAAGTCGTCCGCGTTTTGATGAGATGAATGAAAAAGGGTATCAATGAATACCCTTTCATACATTGTTATCTTATGCGATTTTTTTAGAATGAATTTGTTAGATAAGATGTGCGTGTCTTACCCACCAATTTCTATCAAACAAAACAAAATGGGCGTGAAGAATGGAAATAATAAGATAAGTATGATTTAAAAGAAAAATAAAAGTAAGAGAATTGTTAGGATAATTACCAAATGACTTGATATTTAAATGACTTTACACGTATCTATACAAAACAAAATGGAGTGAAAATAGGAGATAAATTAGGCATGATTTAAATAAAAAAGAATCCATTCATGAGATTTTTTTTTTCGGATATTTAAAAGACTTTCCACAAATAAGAAGTCAAAGATTTTTTTGACCAATTTTCTTAAACTTTCCTAAATGAATTAATTACCTCCCTCTTTCAATAATTATAGATTTTCTCTTGAAAATTTTGTTTCCAATGCCCACCCCTTCCAGAGCCCACCCAATAAATCCAACCCAAAATTATCAACATTACGGGCGCTTACAGTTCTTTGTTCAAAATAGTCCAGCTAAGGCCCATAACGCGACCGCTCGAAAACTTGAGGGCTGAAATTGCAAATAAGAGTCAGTTCAAGGACTACACGTGTAAATTAACTGTTAACGTGACTGGCTGCTCTGAAAATCTCAGATCTTCATCTTCAATGGAGAAATGGTTGTATCTCCTCTGCAAAATTCCGCCGATCGGACTCCATATTCTTTAGAAACCCACCCCCCATTTTTTCCCCGTCTTTTTTTCTCTGCAGTCTTCAATCACACTTCATGAGCCTCTCACTCTAAAAGCTTAATTCTTTTCAAATTTGCTCATAAGATCACTCGAAGATGTATATGGCATACGGATGGCCGCAGGTCATCCCCCTGGATTTACCGAGCTGCCCCTCCACGCCACAGATAGTTTATCTCAAAGTCGTTAATGGGTTGCTCCTTGTTGTGGCCCCCACCCACCTTGAGCTGTGGTCTTCTTCTCAGGTCCGCCATTTCACATTTTGTACGGTTGAATTTGAATTTGGTTATTTATCTGCTATATGGGCAATTGGGTTGAGCATGTTTTACTTCTATATTTTGCCTTTGGTTTGTTTTTGCAGCATAGAGTGAGATTGGGGAAGTATAAGAGAGATTTGAATTCGATCACGAGAGAAGGGGAGAATTTGCAGGCCGTTTGGAGCCCGGACACGAAGCTCATTGCTGTTCTTGTAAGTTCTAAATTTCTTGGTGTAATGCTAGTGGGGAAAAGGAGATAAACTGCCGTGCCCCAATTTTTATCGATATTTATGAAACTAGGTAGATAGAGTGCCATGATTCAATTCACACCATGTGTTATGACTTGTCAATGTCAGCTGTAATCCGGATTGCCCAATCTATGTCATGCAATCCTTGAACTCATCGAGCTGTAAGTGAGCTGTGTAAACTCTGTAAGAGTGATTGGCACTGTTGTTCAGTTTGAAATACTGCGTACTATATGACCTGAATTTGAGGACATGCTATAACTTTGCTATTATATACCGTGTCTAGGAAGTTAGGATCTTCACAGATGATTGTGCTATGATGTCATGGTGCTAGTTTGCTACACCATGGGACAATAGAGATAGGTGCAAAAGTGTTCTGTATAAAGTACTATGTAGGAAGTGACAACTCCCTGTCCATAAATGTGGTTCCTTTTGCGTTCCTCCACCTTGCATTTTTTTTTTTTTTTTTGTAAAACTTGCACAGCTAACTTTAAATTAGGTGACTCTGAACATACTGAGACTGAATGCTTTCAGGAATGTTTATGATAAAACTGCATCTCTACCTTTCATTTGTAGAATTTAGTACTTGTATATGTGGAATGGTTGATGGTCAAATCATCTTTGCGGGTTTTTGGTAACTTGAAATCATTCTCTTTTTGCAGACGTCGTCCTTTTATCTTCACGTTTTCAAGGTTCAAATTACGGAAAAGAAAGTACATGTTGGCGGGAAGCAACCAACTGGTTTATTTTTTGGAAACATATCATTACTTCTCAGCGAGCAAGTTCCCTTTGCAAATAGGAAGTTGACAGTGTAAGTATCAATTGAATTGAACTTATATATGAGTTCCATCCCCATGTCACATGCATCCGTAGGATTGTTTTCTATCTGAGTTAATGAGATTAGAACAGCTCACAGTATAAACAATTTGTGTTAGTTTCACGTGATGTACCTGCACATTTTGGGGAGTGCATGTTTTGTTGTGCTGGATTAGAAAGAGTTTAATGATATCCCTTACCCCCACCCCCACCCACCCCAACGTCCGGAGTTTTTCTGATTGAGAATAAATTGCTTTAGTAAAGCAGGACCGCTTCACTAATGTGTCTGTAGAATTTATACACTTCGTAGTTATTCATTCATAGAAGGACAGCGAAGAAGTGTTGGGTTTAAATAACCCGGATTTGCAGGATTCTATTTTCTAGTATATTAACATTCCAGTTTCCTTGTGTTTGGATCCTCAGTAAAATGTTGTGTTTTTCATGTTCTGATATAGGAGCAACTTCATTTGTGATAACAAACACATGCTGATTGGACTCTCTGATGGATCGTTGTACAACATATCTTGGAAGGGTGAGGTATGCACTTCCGCATAGTAATTTATTTATTTCTCAATATATATATATATATATATATATATATATATATATATATATATATATGTACATATATATTGTAACTTTTCTAGATTATGTGCATTTCATTAGAATATTCAATTATTTTGTGATATTTAAAGTACCCTTGTTGGTTTTGTGTGGGGAAGTTTTAACTAGTTAGTCTTACCTTGGTTTTGGACAATGGGATAAGTAAAAGTTTTCTGTCATAATACAGTTTTGCGGTGCGTTTTTCCTTGATGTGTCGCGACATGAAAAATCCGGTACCAATATATTGTCCAATCACTTGGGCAACGGTCTAATTACAAGCGGAATTCAAGGTGTCGATGTGTCCAACCATGTGAATCACATTGTACCTCAGAGCTCTGCAGTTGTTCATCTTGAGTATTCAATGACATTGCGGTTGCTATTAGTGCTGTTTTCTGATGGGAAACTAATTCAGTGTTCTGTGAGCAAGAGAGGTTTGAAGCTCACTGAATCTATTTTAGTTGAAAGGAGATTGGTTTCGGAGGAGGTTGTATGTGCATCAGTGTCTCCAGAGCAACAAATTCTTGCTGTTGGAACTCTAAAAGGAATTGTGGAGTTGTATGACCTTGCAGATTCTGCTTCACTTATTCGCTCTGTCTCTTTGCATGACTGGGGGTAAGATTTTCATTCCGAGAAATCTTTGTAGTGGTCTCTATTTCTTTTATGCGTTGAACAGTATATAGAATATCACGTGGTATGATGAGTTCAATGGCACAGTTGGACTTCTCATTTCGGTGGCAGTGTTTTTCTTTTCCTTTTTTTCCCACTCATGGTAGATAATGTGCATAAATATATGGTTCGCATAGTTGTCTCTGGTTTGGCATATAGCCAATTTATTTAATGAACCCAAATACCAGATCACCCATTCTCCCCTCCCCTCCCCTCCCCTCCCCCCATCCCCCTCCTGCCAAAAAGATAAAAAAAAAAAATAAAAATTTACCTTGCTTCTTGACTTCTTGTATTTGAATATCTGACTTGACTTTTATGATTTCATACATTGTAGGGATAGTAAAACATTTTGTGTAGGCTTGTTCTTTACCACTTTTTTGTTAACTATGAGAGTTCAGTTTTAATCATAAGAGTATCTAGCTCATTTTTCCAGGGTTCTTGTTATTGTTTTCAATGTATTCCATGTTAATTTCTTTTTTATGCTGTCATGATATATGATGAACATAATTCCTTCTCTATGAACTTGTTGGTACAGATATAGTGTGGAAGATACTGGACCTGTCAGTTGTATTGCTTGGACACCTGACAACTCGGCTTTTGCAGTTGGATGGAAGTTAAGAGGTCTTACGGTTTGGTCCGTCTCAGGCTGTCGCTTGATGTCTACAATCCGTCAGATAGGTTTGAGTTCTGTTTCTTCTCCAGTGGTTAAGCCAAACCAGGATTTCAAGTATGAACCTGTGATGGGTGGAGCCTCACTGATGCATTGGGACGAACATGGGTTCAGGCTTTATGTTATTGAACAAAGATCACATGAGAGAATTATTGCATTCTCCTTTGGCAAATGCTGCCTCAATAGAGGTGTTTCGGGTACAACCTACGTGCGACAAGTTATTTATGGTGAAGACCGCTTGCTTATTGTACATGCAGAAGATACCGATGAACTTAAGATATTGCACCTCAATCTTCCAGTTAAGTATTGAACACACTTTTGAGAATGGCTTGCCTTTCTACCCAATTTCCGTACCTCCTTCTGTTAGATGATGCTTCTAATTGACTGGAATGTGTCAGGTATCTTATATATCACAAAACTGGCCCATTTTACACGTTGCTGCTAGTAGGGATGGGATGTATCTGGCAGTTGCAGGGCTTCATGGCTTGATATTGTACGATATACGACTAAAGCGGTGGAGAGTCTTTGGAGATGTTACTCAGGAACAACAAATTCAATGTAGAGGGTTGCTATGGCTGGGGAAAATCGTTGTCATCTGCAACTATGTGGACTCTTCTAATGCGTGAGAAACCAATCACTATACAACTTCTACAGCTGCATCTTCATGTTGTTCTAGAAGTAGTAAAAAAACCATTGGCAAACCAGTTTCTTGTTTTGTCTCAGCTCTAGTTCTCTGATTACTGTCTCTGTAATAGTGAGAAATTATCAGGTAGGATGCTGTTTCTAGAAATCAGCTAACGTTGTTTACATTGTTGCCAAATTTTCTGTATGGAACTCTAATAGTTAGTAGTTACTCAAGTTCCCATTTTCCATAAGTTAAAACGAGATCTCTGTTGAAGGAATGATAGATGAAACAGTATCCAGATAATTGTTACTGTACTGAAGTGAGGACATTCTCAGTCCTACAATATTGGTTTCTCTTCATAAGCCTAATATCCAACCTACTTCTTTTTACAAGGAAACTTTTCTTTATAGGAGTGCATATTATTGGAATACTATACAAATAAACTATAGGAATACAATTATAGACATTGAATGGAAGAAACTTTTCTTGTTTATCAGTTATCTGTTATCTGGTCCGAGTCTTTTTCTTACGGTCTTCACTGGGCGTAACTGCTTTTCCTCAGCCTTTTTGAACTGCAGCTGTATCTAGTTTCGTGTAAGTTACCGTCAATCATATCACCCATTTACTCTCCTGACACTTGGTTCCTGTCACAATGATTGATGATTGCAGATATGAATTACTTTTCTACCCGAGATATCACCTCGATCAGAGTTCACTGCTTTGCCGGAAACCATTGCTTGCGCAGCCGATGGTCATGGACGTTTATCAGGACTATTTGCTTGTCACATATCGCCCCTTCGATGTTCATATATACCACGTGAATTTAAATGGGGAACTGTCACCTTCCAGCACTCCAGATTTACAGGTAGTTCTAAAACAAAAGTTGCAATAGTTATTTTTAAACCATTATTTCCAGTTGCTTGGTCCTTTTTTACCCAAAATAAGAGTTCTAAACAAAAGCTATATTCGACATGCATATTTTAAGTGATAAAATGACAAACAGCTTTCTACAGTACGAGAGCTCTCAATCATGACTGCAAAGAGTCATCCAGCTGCAATGCACTTCATCCCCGACCAGTTCCCACGAGAGTGCTCGCTTACAGGTGATATTTCCTCAACATCTGACTTACAGCCAAGAGAACCTGCAAGGTATGAATGCATATTTCATCATCTTTAGCTTTAGAAGGCCTGGCTAGTCATTGTATGTGTGCTTGTTTAGGTGTTTGATTTTGCGGATGAATGGAGAACTTTCACTGCTTGATTTGGATGATGGGCGAGAAAGAGAGCTCACACACTCTGTGGAGTTATTCTGGGTTACTTGTGGTCAATCAGAAGAGAAAACAAACTTGATTGAGGAAGTATCTTGGTTAGACTATGGCCACCGAGGGATGCAGGTAACCGTTTCCATGCATATAACCTCTCTTGAAGTAACTTGTCCGTCTTCCTTGACATGTCTGATATGCATACTGGTTGAAGCTCATCTACAGGTTTGGTATCCATCTCCAGGTGTCGATCCTTTTAAGCAGGAAGACTTTTTGCAGGTATTGTATTTATCCTTGCATAAATTATGGTAACTAAGACAGACAACCTGCTGTGGTACCACACTTGTTCATTGTAATATAAATGTGTAGTGTGGGGTAAACATATAAAGAACGATTTTCATGATGTATTATCACTGGAGCTAACTCCTGGTCATCACATTTATTTAGTTTCTCTATCTCATCACTTGTTTTTTTATTGCATTTTACTTGAACTAGGGCACACTTTTCTGGCATTTTTTCAGCATTTGAAACTCTATCACCCTCTATCTCTCCTCCCCACCAAACAAAATCTGACTTAGTGGTTTGATGTGATACCTAGCTGGATCCAGAACTTGAATTTGATCGTGAGGTGTACCCCCTTGGTCTGCTTCCAAATGCTGGTGTAGTTGTTGGTGTTTGCCAGAGAATGTCATTTTCAGCATGCACTGAGTTCCCATGTTTTGAGCCTTCTCCTCAAGCACAAACCATATTACATTGTCTACTAAGGCATCTTCTTCAGGTACATAACTGCACCAACACCAGCCTGGACGTCAAATTTTTTTCTCTTTGTCTAAGCATGTGTCATGCAGTTGAACGTAGCGGATAGTTTCTCTCTGAGACACCCTTTCTCCAATATTTTACGTTTACCCTGTAAGCGTAACATCATCAATTATCTTGTTGATGGACACATATATTCCTGTATTCATTCAGTTAACGTTAAGTCTTTAAATTGTGTTTTGTTTAATGAATAATGATGATATTTGAACGACAGAGCATTACCTGCCTTTAGAGTTACAATGCAAGAATTACCATTTCTCACTGCCACTTACTTACGCTTATGTAATGCCCAACTCTTTTTATTTTTTTTTATTTATTTTTTTCTGTTGAATAGACATAATAAAAGTGGCAGCTTGAACTTATCCAGGATAATAAACTGCCAACACACAGAAGAACTTTCCAATATCTCAACTGCCATGGATCTGCCAATACTTTATTCATTCAGAATTTTTGGCTGAAAATCTTTTCTTTATCGGTGGTTACATAAATTTTCTTTTTTATTTTTAAAAAGGAAAATATTCATTCGGGGCTTGTTTAGATTTATGCAAAATTGAATTGGCTTGCTTGGAGGAGCGAAATTGGAGAGATAAGTTTTATGAAGGAGCTGGACCTCTGAATGTCATCTTCTCTAGGCTCTATCTACCGTAACTGTTTGGACTCATAACACATTTTACTGGAAAAACCCAAAAGTCATTCTCGCTTTTCTTGTTATTCTATGTAGTTATATAATATATAATTTTAATTATGACTTTGCAGAGGGATAAGAGGGAAGAAGCTCTACGTCTTGCAAATTTATCCGCGGAGAAGCCACATTTTTCTCGTTGCCTAGAATGGCTTCTATTTACAGTTTTTGATGCTGACGTTTCAAGGTAATGATTTTCTGGAACTTCCTTTCTCATTCTTTGTTACGGTCTACTTTGAACTCTAATTGAAGTGTTCCACGGCAAAATTGTGAAACCTGATTGGGTTTGCAGGGTGTCTAAACTACCTAAATCATTTTAAGTTCGGACACTTTATCAAAATTGAATAGTTGTTTGAAATGCTAATTGTATTCTCATTTTGATACATCCGTGAAAATAAAACCCATAACATATACTATGCACCAAAAATGATCCTTTCAACTAGAGTTGAACCACATGATTGAGTATTGATGAGAAATAGTTGAGTATGTAGAATAACCTTTTTGCGGTCAATGAAAAATAGCATTCGTCAGCCCTAAATTTGTTTTCTCACCTGTGCAGTTTGACTGTTATGAATTTGTAATGAGTTAGTTGTGCTTTACGGCAAACACAATATTCAGGTTTCTTATTATACAAGGATGGTGGAGGGTAGATTTCTTATAGGAACTTCACCTAATCAAACTTTGCTTTAGAATTGTTATGTTTTCTTACTCCCTATAATATTTTATAAAGTGTATTTTAATGCTTATATATATCAATCATTTTCTAATTACAGTGGATATTCAATCATTTTTCTATAGGCAGAATTCTAGCAAAAACCAGACAGCAGTGTCAAATCGTACTGCTTCTCTTCTGGAGAAGACCTGTGATCTGATCAGAAATTTTCCTGAATACTACGATGTTGTTGTTAGTGTAGCACGGAAAACTGATGGCCGCCATTGGGCAGATTTATTTTCTGCTGCCGGGAGATCAACGGAGTATGGGACTTTATTTTGTTTTTTCTCTACAAAATAGCTAGAACTTGCATCGATAGAAACTTTGATTTATTTTCATTCACTTCAAATACTTATGGCTTCTAGTTAACATCATCACTTTATAGTGTGTTGCTTGCTGCTCGAGAGCTGAAGCGTTATTAGGTTCTCCTTTGTCACCATATATAATTCCTTCACTACATCATATGAACTAGCTTAACTCGAATCATTTTATAATTTCAGGTTGTTTGAAGAATGCTTTCAACGAAGGTGGTACCGCACTGCAGCCTGCTATATACTTGTACGTGACATTTCATTAGTTGTGTATATACTATAGATTTGGACTTTTATTCTGGTTTTTTTGTATTGTCTAGTTGACATGTAATATCAAATCTAATATATGAATCCAGTATTATTTCTGACTTGCTTACATTCATGCTGATTAGCTCCATCAGCTATCTAAAAGCAACAACTATTGGAATTATGTTTTCCTCTTGAGATCATGGCAAAGAAATGGTTACCGATCATAATGTTCTCTTGTATTTTGAGTCAGCAAGAAAGAGAAGCAACTTTGCAACATCTGTTCTAGATAAGATTCTTTTGACGCTAATTGCAAACCTTGTTTATGTCGTCGCAGGTCATTGCTAAGCTTGAAGGTCCTGCTGTGAGCCAATATTGTGCCTTGCGGTTATTACAGGTGATTGCATAATTCTTCTCTTCGTCTAAGCACAACACCTGCTGATACATTCTTATAATACTAGATTAAGAACACAGTTCCTAAGAGCAAGTTGTTTTCTACTGGGGAACCAAGAAGTCAGTAATTACATTATTTGATGCTCCGCCGACTAGTTTCTAGTTGAATGGGCTGATTATTATCATTTCTAATGATGCTACACCAAATGTTTCCTCTTTTTTTTTTTTTTTTTTTTTTTTTTTTTTTTTTTTGGGACATTTTCATGTATATTACACTTTTTGACATGGACTTGTCAATTGTCTAGGCCACGCTTGACGAGTCTTTGTATGAACTAGCTGGGGAGCTGGTATGTGTGTCTATATTGCATTATCTTTCTGGAAGATGGTTGTCCTATTCCCTTGTAGATTTTAAACATTTCTTGTTTACAGGTGAGGTTTCTTCTAAGATCAGGAAGAGAATATGAATCCACGAATACGGACTCTGAGAGAGGGTCTCCAAGATTTTTGGGATATTTTCTTTTCCCAACGAGTTTCAGGAAGCAACCACATGATTCTAGAAGGTAAGAATATGTTTTGAGTTAAGATGATTATTATTAGTTATTTATAGTATAAATATTCTTTCCCCAACGAGTTTTAAATTATTCAGTTTCTCCTTCCTGGGCAGCTATATTGACATTTGTAGACCTTTTCATTTTCTATCAATGTATAGCAGCTCATCATTCAAAGAGCCAAGTGCGCATGTTGCTTCTGTGAAAAGTATTTTAGAAAACCATGCCAGCTATTTGATGTCCGGAAAGGAGCTTTCAAAGCTTGTTGCATTTGTCAAAGGCACGCAATTCGACTTAGTGGTATAAGTCACTCTTTTTAGTTCTTCAGATGAATAATCTTTGTTGTCAGTCCACTATTCATAGAAGTGAAACAAATTTATGCAGGATTATCTTCAACGAGAAAGATATGGAAGTGCCCGTTTGGAGAATTTTGCTTCAGGACTTGAAATGATTGGTCAAAAGGTATCTGGATGTATTGTTAAGGCGCCTGCACACCGGCGTTTTTTATTGATTGGACGGGCGCTCCCGGGCCTCTTTCATATGCATACCCTTTTGAACAAGGAACATAATGGAAAGCTTAATGAACATTCTCTATTTTGGATTTTGTGCAATTTTTTATTGGTGAACTTTCAAAGCCTTTCTGGGAGACCAACTGGCATTATCATGCTATTCTCAACGTCCCTCGATCACCTTTTTTTCCTGTAATCGAGGGATGATGAATTTATATTTCTATGTAGCCACCCTTTTCTGGACATTATATATGCATGTATTGATATGCAACACGCACTTATATAGCCGAAGAGAATTCAATATATATTTAAATGAACTCGAGGTATGTAATCCATTCTGATTTTACTTTTTATGCGTAGCTTAATATGGAAATACTGCAAAGTCGTTTGGACGCGGAATTCCTCTTGGCTCACATGTGTTCGGTCAAGTTCAAAGAATGGATAGTGGTATTGGCCACGTTATTAAGGCGTTCTGAGGTATTGTTAAACATTGTTGCTAAATTTGCCAAAAAATTGTTAGCTCACCAAATACTGTACTGCTCTGTGAGTTCCAGTTATTTTTAAAACCTTTTAGAAATATTTAAGTGGTCATTGGTAATTTGAAGGATAGCTCAATCATTTTGTTAATATATTAAAAAATCATCCGCGGTGCTTTTAAATAACTTTGGTCTGCATTACCGTCTACCCGTGTTGATTGATTTTTTTTAATCCGACAGATGATGACACAACATAAGAATTTGCTTGCTGTCTCTCTACAGGTTCTTTTCGATCTTTTTAGACATGATTTGCGGTTGTGGAAAGCATACAGCATAACTATACAGGTGCAATTTTCTTCACATACGGAACACATTTCTTTTCCTCTTCTCGCTCTCGGTCATAAATAAATAATCTGTGCGTGTGCCATGTGCATTTATTTATAAAAGGCACATGGAGCTTTTGCTTACTATCATGATTTGCTCGAGGAGTTGGAGAGTAAGCTTGCATCAACAGTTGATTCAGAAGAGGACATTTAACACGAAGCATTGCCAAGTCGAAAACGTCTCATAGCACATAGAAAATCAGCTGCCGACACAAACCTGTGAGGATTCCTTTCACAAAATCCACAGGCAAAAGAGTTCATTCATGAAGTTAGCTTGTTACTAGCTTAGATTACATTGCACAAGTAAAACCACTATGTCAATAAATAAACACTTCCTGATTTCACCTTTTTTTTTTTGGCTTTGTTTTTACATGAGGGCATGTGTTATCCTGTTTTGCAATTTTAGGGGAGGAGAGTGTGTAAGGCAAATTTATTGAAGGTAAGCATTAAGTAATATTTGTATGAAGGTCTCATATTAGGGCTCTGTTCATTTTGAGACGAAACAGGTGCAACACACAATATATATGGTGCTTCAAATTCAGCTTCAGACTGAAAGTTTTCACAATATATATCTCCTATACATATAAGAAGACAATGAGGGGCAATTTTGGGCTTGACACGTGTCCTTTTGGGACAAAAATGTCCTTCCTTTTTTCTTGTATTTATAGCTTTGCCATTAAGTTTTTTTATTGTTAATTAAATGGGTAGCATTCTCGGTGGTCAATTCCCTCATTTCCCGCATACGCTACCTTGCTGACTGAGTGAAGAACTCTTCACTCATTTCCGATTGCTCTTCCCTCATTTCCGATCTGTATAAAAGAAATCTTGAAAACACATGCTCCCTTCTCTTTGCGAGTTCTCCTCCGCCCACTTCAGTCCTGCCGGTAACTACCTCTACCTGAAGTGTTTCACTGGAGACTGTACATTGAATCCGCCGTCGAAATATGGGTACGGATTGTTTCCCTAACCTTTTTACACGATGTCAACGCCCTATGGGATTTTGGTGTGGGCTATAAAAATGATTAAGATAGATAAAATACAATTTTATGTTCTGTATTTGTCTCTTTGGTAATCGAATTTGTACATGACTATATATATTATCTCAATTTTACATGAATTTTGAAAAATAAAACATCTCACTCTAATAATCATTCAATCACAAATTTCAGACATCTTAAATTTAATTTAATATCTAAGAAAAAAAAATTGACACTTATTTTGATATGAATATGAAATAATTTATTACATGTTATGTGCATTGTACAAGTTCTGTACTAATTTCAATAGACATGTTTTATGTAATTTTGCACAAATAATCTCTCATATAACATTTGAAATAAATTAATATAGGGTGGAGGGGAGCATTACATATTGATTTCATATTTTAATTTATTATTATTATTTAATAAGCATTTTTAATTTATAAGAATCAATGAATCTCTTTCCGGTAAATAAAATTATGTTAATTCTTGGTAGTTATTAAACATTTGAATGTATTGTGGAGAGTTTGTAAGTGTTATAAATGTGAACTAGTACAACACGTGTATTACACGGGTGCTTGTTAAAAAATTATTTTGAAATTTTAAAATTAATGACAAAATTATTTTAAATTTTATTTACTTTTATATACATATATATATATATATATATATATAT